GGGGTTTCTTCTGAAGTCCAAAATCATCTCCAATGTTTTGAGCGTGTTGAGCTCCAGGTTATTGTAACTAGACCAGACAGCCAGCTCTTTAACCTCCTATCTGTAAGCAGACTCATCTCTGTCCTTTTAAATTAATACCACCATTAATTTCAAAAAAGGAGCAAAACTACTTAAAATCCATTGACCAGAGGCAGATTAGTGCCACCTGTTTGGAAAAAAATATATAGACAATCATCTTATATAACAGTGTAGTGCCACTACATGCCTGTATAGCCCTATATAACAATGACTTATTTTTATTAGATTTTGCATTTGGATATATATTTTGGGAATTATCACTGAGTGAGTAACATTGTTTTTATTTGCTTATGCCACACTGGGCTTGTATGTCCATACAGGACATCTGGTTAGCTGTGAGAAGCGAGCAGCCATTGGGTGACTAAAAAACCTTGTTGCCACACACCGCTGTACCGATGCTGGTGTTGTGCCCATTTTCGACCCCCTGCCAAATTATTACCCCTCTCGTTGAAATCGCTATCTGATTGCCTAATCCTAACCCCTCCCCCACACCTAACCCTAAACCTACCAATACTAGGGAGGTAATAATCTGGCAGGGGTCAGAATTGGGCACAACACCGGCACCAGTGTTCGTTGCAGTCTTATGTGCAGTTCTCTAGTCTAGGTTGTTATTTTATCCAAATAGCTTATCCGTCACACAACCTACAGTATTTTGCATGATATATTCTATGGTGTTCAGAGGCTCCAGCTGGCAGCCTCCTTCTGTGTTGATATCGCTATGTACATGCATTATGATTTGTATGCAATAATCCACTCATCTGAGCTAAATGTATGTTGTAAGTTCCACCAATATGTTGTTGTTGCTTCTATTCCCTTTTAATCGCATTACACTGGTCTAACGCTGTGGATAGCCAACTAGCTTCCATTTACCAAATTGTATGCTGCAAACACTGTTTGCAAATCAATATTTATATGCGAATAAAAGCCTATAACTAGATCATATCAAGTTTTGACCATCTCTTTATGAACTTTTTGAAGCGTCAGTTTTGGTTGAATTGACATTCAGTGGAGGGACAGAAATCTCAGATTTTATTAAAAATATATTCCTTTGCGTTTCGAAGATGAACGAAAGTCTTCTGATTTTTGGAAACAACATGAGGGTAAGTAAATGATGGCATTCATTTTCAGGTGAACCCTTTAAGAATTACATGTATGAGCATTAATTGTGCTTGACATTAAATTTAGGGAGTTTAGTCCATTTTTTTATTGGAGTATATCATGGCCCACCTTTATAAATAAGACACATTGAAAGAACTTTGGAATTCCATCATGCTAGCAATGTAGAATAACCTGGAAAACAACTTTATTGGAACAGCATGTTAAAATGCTTAAACTAACATAAAATTTATGCTTCTTGTTTTTCTTTTTAACAGGAGGATGAACTTGAGGGCAACACAAAAATAAAAAAAAGGTGTTGGTGAGGCATGATCCCACAGCCAAGGAGGACCCAGCCTCTCATTTCAAGTGTTGCAACCATTGTAGTCACACATTACATCAAATCGCAGTTTCTTATTGTTTGAAATGACAAAATGTGAGACATGCAATTTAAGAATGTTGTTTTTAGTGCATATTCTGACATGAATGAAGACATTGGTTTATTTCTGAATGAGAAGCGTTCAAGAAGTTTAATTTTATCTGAGTGATATGAAGATGTATTTTACTTGAAATTGTAGGAGGGTTCTTATACATTAAACCATTTTAAATGTTTGTTATTTGTTCAATCAAGAAATGTTTATTATTTGGTCAATAAAAGTAATTGATGCAATATCTTGTGTCTGACCATTTTTAGGTAAATTGAACCGAATAAATAATGTGTAATTATTCCTATTGGCTAATTACTGATAATAATAATTAAGTAGATTAACTGATGCCTGACAACAATAGAGTTAATATTACTCAATTTTTATAGATAATTAGTTGTGTAATGTATTAAGAAATATTAGGTAGACTTTACCTAATTTCTTTTAGTGTGTCGTATTTGTTAAATTTAGGTACTCTTTACTCAAATATATAGGATGGAATCTACCCAAACAAATTGAATGCAAATTGTTACCTCAATTTTATTGAGTAGATTCTATAGGTTTGCTTTTACAGTGTTGGGGAATGTATAAAATCCCTTCCACGTAAATACATCACAATTCCAAGATCTAATAAGAGTTGACTTAATAAGCATTGACTTAATAATAAGTACAACACTTAGCAGGTGAGTATAATAGACATGCAAGGGCCTATCCCTGCTCTGGTCTCATCGGACCTAGTTGAAACACCCAGCATGCTTGCTTGATGCATGAGAACCAACGAGGTTCATTCTCTCAATAAAAGCCTAAATTAAAATCTGTTCATCATATAAAACGAGTGTGTCTCTTCAGAAGACTTGGATTAAACTGCTCGATTTATATGGATTTATTTTATGCACAAGAGGCGAGAGCTGGTGTATTTTCCCCAGGCTTAATAAAATGACTTAAGCACCATCACACTCATATGCATACATGGGGTTTATAGTGATGTTCGATTATTGAACGAATCGTTCGTTTCAGCCGGGTTTCAGGATGCAAACAGTAGAGCCGGTTTACAACTTTCGTGACACAATGCCGCTTTACTGTTGGGTAGCAGTCACTGCAGAGCTTGCTTCAGTGTAGACTCGGCAGAAGTGCCAAATTAGGGCGCATAACGGAAGCAAAGGGGGACGCTCATGAACTGCGTTAAGCTAACTGAGACTGTAAACAACATTATTAACTTCCCCTGAATTTCCCTAAATGATCTGAATATCAGCAAATCAAAAGCAAAAAAAAAAAAAGGGGGGGATTCCGCCCATTTGCTCTGCGTAAATGCCCAGGTATACTTCACTTTCCGCGTTCGCACAGCTTTCGGCGTTAGCACATTCTGATGGCTGGTAGGCCGTTCTGAAAAATTAGCTTGCTGCTAATGCCTTGCTGCACCGGCATTGGTGCTCATTCCCTGACTTGTATGGGTCCAAAAGTGTTATAACGATGCAGACTTCAGACTGTAAAAAGAAGCAACCTTTTAATGCATGGGATGATATTAGGCTCAAAATGATTAATAGATGCACACATGCTGCACATTAATGTAATTCTTAACTCTGCAGACACCGGTTGAAAAGCATTTGTTTCAGTGTAGTGACGCACATTTGCAAATTGTTCAAATCGTGTACACCTTAATGAACTGCACTGGGCCTTGTTCGTTGTGTGTGGGGGGGGGGGACGTGAAATGCTCTAAACTGCGAAAATGAAGTCTCAAAATCCAAATTAACCGAACAAGATCGATTCGAACTAGACGTCAATTAATGCACGCATGTCACCTGATCCACATATGCATGGATTCCTTTTTGCATGAGCAATTTATGATATATTAATGCAGAACAGAACATTTTTATTCGCAAACATGTCTGTATTTGTACAAATCGCTGCACAATCATTTAATCCCGAATTCCACAGAATCAAATTGAAAGGCATTTGTTTGTGGTTAGTAAGATAAATGTATAAAATTTATGCAGTACATGGATAATTGTGCGTGCATCTATTAATCATTTTGAGTCTAATTTCATCCCATATTAATGAAGCGTAAAAAAAAAAAGTCTGCATCGTTATACTAAGACTTTTGGACCCATACAAGTCAGGGAATGAGCACCCCCTGCTGGCCGGAATAAAAATATCTCCAGCAGCAAGCTAATTTTTCACAACAGCCTACCAGCCATCAGAATGTGCTACCGCCTTCAAAAAAACAAAACAAAAAAAAACCCAAGGTAAACTTAGTAATTGAGGTGGGGAATTCATGAAAACAACATGTCATGAGGCCAGTTTAATGCCTCAACTGAAAGATGCTCCTTTTCACAGTCTAAAGTTCGTCATATTAGGACTTTTGCACTGATTCAACGGTGTGTATGTGTGTGTGTGTGTTCACTGCTGCGTGTTTGCACTTGGATGGGTTAAATGCAGAGCACAAATTCCGAGTTTGGGACACCATACTTGGCCACAACCCACAAGTCACTTCACTTCATTTTTTCACTTTTTTTTCATCAAAATTAAAACAAACAAGCAAACAAAAAAACTTTTTAAATGTTTTACTTTACATGTAATGAATCTAGAATATATGAAAGTTTCACTTTTTGAAATAAGTTACAAAAAATTTAACTTTTTCACGATATTCTAATTTTTTGAGATGCTGTTGAAAAAAAACAGCATATGCTGGTTAGGTATGTTTTGAAGCTGGGATGCTGGTTTGAGCTGGTTTAAGCTGGTCCTTTGCTGGTTTATGCTGGTCCTTAGCTGGTTTAAGATGGTCCTTAGCTGGGCATGTGCTAGTCCTAAACTGGTCCGACCAGTTTAAGACCAGCACATGACCATCTAAGGACCAGCTTAAACCAACTCAACCCAGCATCCCAGCTTCAAAACATACCTAACCAGCATATGCTGTTTTTTTTTCTCACACACACA